GAATCTATTAAAGCCCCTCGACCTACCAGGGTGCTGGTGCGAGGATTTTGGAGATTGATTTGAATGATGAAAGGTCGGATGGGGGCACTTACCATGGGGTCCTGGTTGTCATCCTTATCGCTGTCTCCCAGCACCACCGGTAAGTCTCCAGGTCCAGGCACGCTCCCCGCGTCACTCATCGGGCTATCCTTATCCATTATCGGGGTCTGTGAAGCCACTCGGGAACGTTCAGGAGTCACTCGCAATTTTCCTTTATTACTGGATCTATCTGGCGACCTCCGTATGGATGGTTGGGGCGGGGGAAATGGGCAGTCGGCTGCTCGGTGCTCCTCTTGGTTACACCGAAAACATCAGAAGGGCGCTCTTCGGGCGGAGCCCACAGGCCCAGGCGTCGAGGCGGGCCTCCCGGAATCCCGAGCCACAAGTGGTCTCTCCAGTGGTCTCCTTCCTTGGGTGCCCCCTGAGCTCCCTCTAAACCTGAATTCCTTTAGCCCCAGATCCAAGTCAATAGCCGCCTTAAACCATTCCGACAACCAAGGTGGCAGTCCGTGGTACACATAGGCCTGTCGGATCTCCCTATCTAGGCCAAGGTGAAATTGGTGGACCAGCATCCACTCCGGCCAAGCCCTCAATCTGCCTGCAATTGCACGGAACTCCTTTACGTACTCCCTGGCTGGCTGGCCTCTCTGATGTAAAGCCACCAATTCGCCCTCAGCTTGTTGCACCCGTGAATCGTCTTCAAAACAAACCTGAAGACCTTCTAGAAACAACCCTACATCTGTCAATTCTCGGGCGTGGTCACTATGAAGGTCCTCCACCCAGTCCGCTGCTTCTCCCTTCAAGGCTGTCGTGACTGCGACCACCATGGACCACTGGGTGGGGTAGAACTGTCCATATAAATCAAAATAACTGAGGACTTGACTCAAGAAAATAGCTACCCTGTCAGAACTGCCATCAAATATCGCTTGTAGGGGAGGTGGACCCCACATCGGTTGAGGTTGCCAGGGTCCCTGTCCTGGAGCCCCTGCATATCCAGGGCCCACGGGGGCCTGGGGGGGTGGCTGGTTCATTCCCTGCTGTCCCAGGGGGCCCCGGCCCATATTGGTTGGTCGCCTATCGCCCTGGGTGGACAGCGTGGGTGGAGACCACCTCCCTCCCTGCTCGGCAGCTGTCCCTACCTCCACACACACCCCCGGCGTGGGAATGGGCCATTGGCTGTGCCTGTTCTGGATTTCGTGCTCTATCTCCGGAACTCTTTAACTTTAGTTTAGGGCTGGCCAAACGAAACCGGGTTGACCCAGATGCCTCAGACCCCTGCCAAGTGGTAGCTCGAGACTCCACCCCTTCGGCCCAGGACTGCCATGAGGGGGCATCTCTAAAGCTACTCTCCCCAAAATGGTCTCTTAAGACATCCAAAGTAGAAGAGCCGAGTCCCGTTGAGTAGCTCCCCTCGCCCCCCTCCTCGTCATCTACCCAGCGTCTCTCTCTCCAGCGCTGAAAAGGGTCACCCGATGAAGCAAAGGTAGAAACCTTACCCCCTGAGCCAGCTACTGCCGGGCTTCGCAACCAGTTCTCGGGGGGGGAGGTGCGTCAGTAAGCTTTGTCTTGGCTTCATCCGTTTCTCCCTCGTCCCCGCCGGGGTTTGGGGTCCATTCCTTCGACTGAGACTTCACCACGGGTTGCAACTTGACCGGGGCCGCCGGCTGGACGGTCACCCCCTCCGCCAGCATCTCTGCCAATGTCTCCACCAACACCTTCGCTCCGGGGTCCGTTCCCTCCGCCATTCCAAATCTCCAAACGCACCTCCAGGAAGAAACTAGAACGAAGGGAGCACCAACTTTCTCTCAGCTCCTTGTCCCGCACAGCACGGAGACAGCAATAAAACACAGCTGGACACATCAACTGGAGAGTGAATCCTGGTTTATTGCTTTTCATCAGTTACGGAACAACGCCAAGCTACAAACTTTCAAAGTTGGCGCTGCGAGCATCCGCCTCGCAGCGCTTTATATCCTAGTGCGCCACCCCTCTCTTGATGAATGTGTGGCTCAGCTGTGTTGGGGTGAGTTGCAGCGACGTTTCCAGTTTTCTCATTCCGGGTTTCTCTGCGTCCTAAACGCAATCCCTCCACCGACGCCCCTCCACCATTTCCCGTGCCGCTTATTTCCCGTGCCCCCTCTTACGTTGTAGTTTTGTTTGGGATGTGTTACTCTTTCCGATCTGCCTTCCCGTCCCGGTCGTATGTCGGGCACGCCGGGCTCGACATCAGTTTGTGCAGGCAGTTTCAGCAATTTATCAAGAGCAAACAGCACAGATTATCATTAATGGAAGCTTAACTACAAACTTCAGTATAGAAAAAGGCACAAGACAAGGGTGTCCGTTATCCCCGTTGTTGTTTATCTTAACTCTAGAAGTCTTGTTGAACACAATACGGTACTCAAGTACTTTGAATGGAATAGTTATAAGGCAAGAGGATTACAGAACAAGGGCATTTGCAGACGATCTGGTTGTTACCCTAACACAGCCGATGGAATCAATAATCCAGATGAAAGACATTATAGAAGAATATGGTATGGTATCAGGATTTAGACTGAATCAGAAAAAAACCAAGATGATAGTTAAAAATATGACAGAAGATCAAAAGAAGGAACTTGAAAGGAAGGCAGGTTTTGAAATAGTACCAAAGGTGAGATATCTAGGAGTCCAAGTTGCAGATTCAAATATAAAATTGTTTCAAAATAATTATGAGGTGTTGTGGCGAAAGGTACAAAAGGATATGGAAACCTGGAAAAAACTGCAGCTGTCTTTACTTGGAAGAATAGCAGCAGTTAAGATGAACGTTCTACCTAGATTTTTATTTTTGTTTCAAATGATTCTGGTGCTTAAAAGTGATGAACAGCTGATGGAATGGCAAAAAGGAGTGAATAAGTTTGTTTGGAATGAGAAAAAGCCGAGAGTTAAACTGAAAATTATGCAAGATGCTCGTGAAAGGGGTGGCCTTAAACTTCCAAACCTACGATTGTATTATGAAACAGCAGCGTTGACACAAGCAAGTGATTGGTTTGGAAGGACAAAGACTGGAATATTGAATATAGAAAGTTATGACCTTGAACTTGGTTGGCATGCATATTTATTTTACGAAAATAAAGTGGATAAAGTATTTAACAGGCATATACTCAGAAACTCCTTGATGAGAGTGGAAGAAGCACCAGTTCAAATGGGATTATAAAATACCGTTGTGGTTGGATCTTGGTCATATTATACGGAATATAAATATAAAGTCACTCGGGGGGTTTTTATACAAAGAAGTACTTTTTAATGATGGGGGCAGATGGCAACTAAAGACATTAAACACACTGTTGGAAGAAGGGATCAATTTAACTTGGTTACAGTATAATCAACTTCAATTGAGATGGAAAGAAGATCAAAAAACTGGTTTAATGTTGCATTAAAGAAGAAGAATTGGTAAGACAGATAAAAGAGAAAGGCCCAATGCATATCAAGAGGGTCTATAACATTTTGCTAGAAAGAGATTCAGAAAATGAATTGGTTAAAGATTGTATGATAAAATGGGTGCAAAACTTTGCAGAACCAGTTATGATGGAAACGTGGGAAAAAATATGGGTCCAGAATGTTAAATTTACGCAGTCACAGAATTTGAGGGAAAATTTTTACAAAATGTTTTATAGGTGGCATTTAGATCCTAAGAAATTGTCGTGCATGTATCCTAATGTTCAGCCAAAATGTTGGAGATGTGATTGTTTAGATGCTACATATTATCATATATGGTGGACGTGCAAGAAAGAGAAGGCTTTTTGGATAAAAATTTGGTGGGTTATGCAAAATGTTCTGAAGAAAAAACTCCAATTCTCTCCTCAATTGTTTTTATTGGGTATAGTTAAGGACTTTTCACTGGGTGAAACAAAATTGATATTGTATATGGTGACAGCAGCTAGGTTACTGATTGGTCAATATTGGAAAAGGGATGTTATGCCTACTATTGAAGAATGGACTTTGAAGGTGGCCAGTTTTGCAAAAATGGCGAAGATATCAGCACACTTAAAAGACCGGACTCAAGAGACCTATGCATGTGAGTGGAAGAAATGGATAGATTATGTGCAGAATAAATATCAAACTAGGAAGTACCAGATTGCTTTTAGCTGAATGTGGTGTAGAAATGTATAGTACACGGGGGTAGAATAGATGGGCAGTAAAGTATGATACAATATGATTTGGATTGGATTTCATCTTGGGGAAGTCATGGGGGGAGGGGAGGGTTAGGGAGGGTTAGGGAGGGAAAGGGGGGGATGGGAAAATTTGTATTTGTAAAACTTTTTCAATAAAAAAAAAATTAAAAAAAAATACAGGCGGCCAAACAACCTTTTGCTCTGGTGTGCTGGCCATGGCTCACAGGATGCCTCTAAGTGGGTCCACCTGGGTTGAGGATTTCCCAGAGTCCTAAATTTACTGTAGGAAGGGCTAAGGCTAGAGTTAGTGAGCGGTTTGGTGGTCTAGAGGTGGAGCTCTCGCCTCACAATCAGAAGGTTGTGAGTTTGATCCTAGATAGAGGCAGATATTTCTCTCTCTGGGCACATTGAGAATATATCTGCTGAACAAAACTTCGCATTGGCGACCGGAAGGGCATCCGGCCATTAAAACACTCTGCTAGCTCCATTCGGTTGCCCAGATTCCAGCCCGCAAGGGATTATGGGGACATTAAAAGATGATGATGAGGGCTAACACTAACCAGCAGATCCCTCTGGCTGTTGCGTTCAGCCCTTCTCTCCTGTCCTTTGTGGAAGGAACATTCGATGCACTTCCTTCACTCAGGAACAGAGGCCATTACCCAAATTGCACAAATCGATCCTGAGGTTCAATTTCTGGGGGACTTGCTGCTTTTTTATGCTTCTCCTTAGGGACAGAGGGTCAAGCCTCTCCGGCCTCCTATCCACCATGAATCCAGGGGCTGCCAAAGCTGACTCTCCCTATCCTTCCCCCTGCAGTGCACAGCCAGGTGTGGTGAGAGAAGTATGGTGAGCCGAGACATCCGCTGTTCTGAAGAAGAGAGGCTGTGCGATGCCAGCACCAAGCCAGCAGCTGATAAGAACTGTACCGGGCCGCCCTGCGACCGGCAGTGGACAGTCTCTGACTGGGGACCGGTAAGTCTTTTGGGCAGAGGAGGAACTTGCTGACCAGGAGAGAGGGAGGCTGGGGTATTTGCAGGAGCTGCAAGGGGGAGCCTGGTGTGGGTCACAAGACATGGAACGGGCCTGCCTTCCGGATCAGAGCAGGGGTGCCGTTTAATCTAATATCCAGTTTGCAGCCCAAATAATCTAATACCCGATTTGCTTGTGGTTTCTTCCACAAAATAAGATCACCTGAATTTTGGCTCTGGGGCCAGGCAGTTTCTGTGCATCAAAATAACTTTGAGGGCTTCAAACATCCTGATTTTGAATTTTTTATAGCATCCCTTTTGAAACATTAGTGTTCCTTCCCGCAGGAAGGCAGATTCCTAGCCGGGGGGGGGGGGGTGTTTGCCAGTAAAGCCAAGAAGGCAGCTAATGGAAGGGGAGGGGGGCAGCTCTCCTTCCCAGTCCCTGATCAAGCAGTTATTCTTGAGGATGCCTCTCTGGATTTTCGCCCCAAGGGGTGAACTGGATGGCCTTAAGGGTTCCTTCTAGCACTAGCATTTTAAGACTCATCCCTGCCACTTCAATGTGTTACATGCAGCTGCCTGGGTAGCACTTCTCTTAGCTCAGGGGTCCCCAACCTTTGGGCTGGGGTATCTATGGCATGACAATTTTTTTCCCCGAAACCAGTTCCTGATGTCAGAAATGTTTGAGACTGCTGTCCTAGCTGTCAAAAGAATTGATGAGTCTCATCCTTTCTGTGTCTCCAAGTAGCTTTGTTCTTCCATCCCATTTGCCATTTTTGTTCTGTGTGTGTACACACAGAGGGACGGAGGGAGGGAGGGAGGGAGGGAGGGAGGGAGGGAGAGAGAGAGAGAGAGAGAGAGAGAGAGAGAGAGAGAGAGAGAGAGAGAGAGAGAGAGAAATATGGGGAAAGTTACAAAAGTGTAAAATCACCTTGTTCAGTGGCCAAAGGACCTTGAGTTGTTCCTTTTGCCTGATAAGCTGCAGACCCTGTCAAGAGGCTAATCAGGGAGCCCACTTTG